GTATCCGACAAAAATATGAAATATCCGTATCCGCGAAGTACAAATTATTTTGAAACCATCTAAATATTACAATTATGATAATTAACTATGTAAATGACAATAAATTTAATATAATAGATGATATGTATTATTATTTAAAAGTTATCTAAGACTAATATAATTATAATATTATTAACAATATATAAATCTTAAGTTAAATTGATTTTAATATGGCTAATTATATAATTAATATTTTAATTTATTTATATCATTTTAAAATTTATTTTTATTTATTTGAATTCAATAATTAATAAATATAATCTTAGTTATTAAAATATTTTTATTTTTGGTAGTTGTCTTTATCTACGGTGTTACATAGCTATATTTTAAATCCCTTCTTTCATAATGATTTTATTATACTATGAAAGTATCAATAAGCAAATTGATACATGTGGTCTTCAAAATAGAGTAGATATCCCAATATATCCATTTTGTATTAGTATCCAGCAATATCCACATTCGTATTCGAATTCGAATTAAAATGTGGTAAATAGTGGTATCCGAATCCGAATCCGTATCCGTCCGGATCCGATCCGAATCCATCCTTACTAAAGAGTCCATGCATTGACTCACACAAAGCTGCCCGGAAAGGATACAACACGGTCTAAAAATCAGGTAACAAAGCGAAACACATAATTGGCTTATATAGCTCAAATTTAATGAACTTTATATATATAGCTATAATGTGATTACGATACAATTCATAATTAGAGACAGTAATGAGATTCCTGACCAAACTCTAGTCTTGTGTTGTAACAATAATGAGAGTATGAGACCAAAAATATTCCTGACTAATACAAAATTACAAAGTAAACACCATTTATCTCAACATGAGAGGTGTTTATGAAATGATTTAATTTATGCTAACAGAAGCATGTACTCCCTCTGTTGTTTTTTACATGTCATATTAGATTTGTTCTAAGTCAAACATTACTATCTTTGACCATTTATTTAAAAAAAAATACCTCTCATGTTTGACTATAGTTTTATAACCTCAGAGGATGACATTGCCGCCGTTGGAGCCTTGGAGGACCTCTCGCCGCCGCTGATGCGACTGCCCCGCATGGTCTTGGCACTGCCGGAGATCCACGGCGGGAGCGGGCGCGCACATGGTGGAGTTCTCGAGGGCACGATGACAGGAGCGGCGTGCAGTCGGAGGCTAGCACGTTGGCAAGCTCGCTGGTGCTCGGAGGAGGTGGAGAAGAGCAGGTGCCACATGCGACGTGCATGGCAAGGGCCTAGCAAGGTGAGAGGAGCTCCGCAGGAGCACGACTGGGGGCATGTGGCGCAATGCAGGGAGGAGGAGCTCCACAGGGGAGTGGCAGCGAGGTTGCCAGCAAGGCACGCGCGGTGACGGTTCGTCCCAATGCTTTGTCAATGTGCTCATAGAGGTGCTCGCTACTTCCTTCCCTTGTGCACTCAGTGCACAAAAATGTCTCAGAGGGGTAAACTTACCGACTCGAGGGGAGGTGATTCTATGCAAAACAAATAGGTAACCAAACACTCCATTGTCTAGTCAGCCTTAGACAATACAGACAACCAAACAACTAGAGGTTGGCTCGGTGGAAACAGGCTAAGGCTGTCCAAGCTTGAATGACTAATCAGGCTAGAAGCAGGCCAAGAAACCAAACACACCCTATGTAAATAAAAATGGAGGGACTACCTATGATCTCCATACAACCTCTCTTAGCTTTAAAATGGCAAAGCTAAGGGTTTGTTTGGTTCATGACCACAACTTGCCATGCCGTAAGTCAGGCATGTCACAGATTCTGAGGCATGTGTTTGGTTCATTGCTATAACTATGGCACGCACAATTTCTTAGCACCTTGTCCCACATGTCGTAGACTCGTTTTCTTGCCAACTTTTTTCATAAGTGTGGCTTTGTTTTTGCTCGCCACACTTTTTGTGGCTGCCATAGTTTGTGAAAAATTAGGCGTAGCAAGTTTTGGCATGAATCTAACATGCCCTAACCCTACAAAGAATATCTTCAACTATATTTGCCTGTCATGCTAAATAATAATAGCATGAGTTGCAACTTGTTTTCTCGAATGTGCAAAAGAGTTACGTATCATTGTATCAAGGTACAAGAGTTTGTGAATACAACCACACCCCTAACTACTACCTGTCATCGGTTGCCACGGCCGCTGAAAGCCGACGTTCAAGTTCAAGCCATTGAAGTCGTATGTTTGTTTTTTCACTGAGAATGACGATTTAGATTTTCGTGTGCTTTCTTCCTCCTTGATGATCCAATTTGTTTTTGGGACGTAGTCCAACTCACGTTCCAGGTACCGCTCTGCCGTCCGTACTACGCCGTGATCTGGAACAATCATTCCAAGCTATGAGATCTTCAACTTTTAGTTTGCCGGTCACGGTCAGGCCAAAGAATAGTAGCATGAATTTCAATTGTCATGCATATACTATTTTAATATTACCAAAAGTTGATGCTCGATCGCAAAGAAGCTAACATAAAGAAATGAAAAACAACAAACAATTTCATCAGAAGAACAAGGTTTAGAAGCAACCAATGTTGCATGCAACAATCACAGTAGTACTTAGAAGTTAGGGAACGACAAGGATGTTGTATCAGTACCTGACGCACGTCTTCTCATAATTGAACGCCGCCGTGGCGATCCGCTTCAATTGCTGCAGTGGCGATCCGCGTCAATCGTTGCAGATTTTCACCTCCTATCCGGTCTAATATGACGCAATCCAAGACCCTGCTCCACTTCAGGGCACATTCCAGGACACCAAAAGCCTTTAATTTCCTATCCAGTTCAGCAAGTGGACCTGCAACATGGCGCGGAGTTTCCAACTGCTGGATTGACTCGTCAACGTCAATTTTCAAGAAAAAAAAAGACACGTCAACATCGGCCACCACCGGTGGCCAGCAGAGCGTGAAGCCATGGGCAAGATCACGTGGAAGAACGAATCATGAGAGTCATGGAGCAAACCGTGGAGGACGGCGGCAACCTAGGCGCGTCTCCTGATTGGCGACCTCCTTGTCACAGCCTGGCTGCTCCTCCGATAACATGATCGATCTTCACAGCAAGTAACTGGTAGACGAATGGAAGTTTCCGTGGAGACAAAAAAGAAAACAACGGTAGAGAAAAAAATGGAAGTTTCCCGAAGAGATTTGTTTGCGATAGAAAAAAAATAGGACAGGACAAGAGGTGGCGGACCAAGCGTCTGGAGAAAAAAATCATCTCTCTTCATCTATTCTATGCAATGTCAGCTTATTTAATGTTATGAAACTCTCATTGAGACTGGCTTAATACTCATCTATTCCAAAAAAGCTGCAATTCTCGGTTTTCGAGAAGGTCAAATAATTTTAAGTTTAACTAAGTCTATAAAAAACACTAACATCCATTAATCATGATATTTTCATAATTATATATGTTTGAAGTCATAAATAATCTTCCCTTTAGTTGTGATCTTGTAGGTTATATTTAAAAAGTGTATAAAACTTTTGATACATTTGGTTAGCTTGCTCCTTTGCTATCTAAGGACACATTTGAACGTTGGCCCTAAAGATTACTCCCTTCGTCCCTAAAAAGAGTCGCTATGGGAATCGTGCTGGTCAAACTTTCTCAACTTTGACTATATTTGTAGAAAATACGTGACAACATTTATATTTTCAAATAAGTTTATTATGAAAGTATATTCAATGATCTGCCTAATGGTACTAATTATGTACCATAAATATTGATATTTTGTTAAATATATTTGGTCAAAGTTAAAAGTTGTTGACTTTTTAGGCGAGAATGACTCTTTTTTAGGGATAGATGGAGTATCTAGTATGCTTTTTAAAGAAAACTTTAGTGTTGAAGTGCAAAGAGGGTTTAGAATTTACATAGACTAAGATTGTTGATTTACTTTTTAACCCAATTCAAACCACTTCATGTGCTATTCTTTATTAGGATGTACTATTAAATCAAAATTGGGACTGAATCCATTATTTTTTGAAATAGATTTAAAAAAAGAACTACCCATTCTTAACTTTTTGAGAAATCCTTCATCAGTGGGTTGTAAATCAGTGGTTGATTCCTCCATGTTGCTATTCTGCCCTTTCCCGGTAGTCAACCACCAACGAACGTATAGGTTAGGACCTCTTGTTTTGACAATTCAATAGACGAAGGTTTTCTTACCAAGAAAACGATATTCAAAATCATTCCATTCAGAATTCTCTTTGCTAGCCACTCGGTCCTTACAGCTTCACATGATGTTACATGTGCATTCACGTATCACGTTGTTTCTTAACAAATACATGTAGAACACAAAAGGTACTCTCCACCTAGATAATCTGATAAATGATAGCACTTCCGAAGTAATTCTTAATCCAAATCAGCACACAGAAATTTAATTTTACTGACGGACCAATCAAAATCCAGAAGATTAGTTAGATTAAAAATGTTCAACAACCAGCGACTATCCAACAGATCGTCATTTACATTCAACGCCAGAAAACCCAGACAAGTAGGCAACCCCAGAATATCAGACCGCACTAGATAAACAAGAGGAACAGCCTAGCTAGATCTATTAAACCTTCAGCAAAGGCATACCGACCACCTAACGTGGCCTACATAATTTGTGACGCCATGAAAGGAGGCCGATTTACACGTCGCTGCAGCACAACAGAGCAATAGCATTTGAGGATGAACACAACACAGTCACAGCCCACAACTGCAATTGTAAAATGTTCCATGAGGCCATGTGACCCATGACCACCTCTTCTAACAGTTATGAGTTAACTCCGGTTGTGGGCCAATTGTCACCTTTACGGTAGAACAATAAGCTGATGCATGGGTAGCTGGCAAAATAGCACATGATCCGTTCATATTTGTCTCACAAAGAAGACATAACTACTAAATACCTAATTTCTGTGTAACAATGATAGCTGGAGTGCAGTTCTTTGAATATCTTTGTTTGGGCCAAAATTTTTTAATTGTCTACGTTGGTTACTGTTAACCCAATTTCCATCCACGTTGCACAAGCACTTCCCGAACCCGTGCAGCCACATCAGCAGCGTCATTCAGGGGAGGATAGCTCCAGCTATCTGACATCTGGAATATAGGTCAGTAGGACAATGCAATGTTAAGAAATTCAATGTTGAAGAGCTCCAAAACTGATGTGAGAGAAATCAATTTTGTACAATTGCTCAACAGAAATAAATATACAGGTTAATATCTAAGCACCATGAAACTAAACTACAAGGGGTAGCAGTTAATAAGGCTTACATCTTCCAGTCCAGTGAAAGGCCGGACAGCCCTGCGCTCACGTAGACGGTTATGAAAATCTGAAAATTTCCACCTGCAGTGTTCGGTTCCAATGACATATACAGGCTTCCTGTAAGAAGTGAAACTGGAAAGCTTAGTGATGCCTCCCTGCGAGAGTCTGCCAGAGAGGAAGGATATAGCATAACAGCTCACCCAGTGCTGCATGCCTCGCTTAGCATGCTTATAGAGTCTGCTGTTATGATGAAAGCATCAGCCCATGCAAGATGTCCCAAGTGTGGGTTAGGATCTGTGAAAAAAATCTGCTCAGCATAAAATTTCTCATATCACATAAAGCTAAAGATGTCTCACAAATCTCATATGTGAATCGATGAATGTACCTTCACCGTCCCAAATATAAATCTTAGGATGTGTACTGAACTCTTTCAATACTACATCAGACATCTGCCAATATGTAGTTTAGAAATTAAGTAGAAACAGTTCATACAAAAATAAAGAAAAAGAATGATCAGAGGCCCTGGTAGTCCTACCTGTGGAGGTGTTCTTCTAGAAAATGAGATTCTGACACTTCCACAGGTCTTCAGAACATTATGCAGTGAGTTCACCAGCTGCTTAGCAAGGTCTACATCATATTTACAGTTTCCTGAGCATTGAAAACACTATGCATTAGAACTGCCCATGTATTCGTACAAAGGTGTTAAAAAATCGATCACAACATATGGGCTAAAGGTAATAAATGACTATTGAAACAAGTGAAGGTCTATAGCCTTTGTTTTTGTTAGTTTCCAAACGTTGGTAAACTTGAAAAGGTTCTTACCTTTTCCTGAATAACTAAATGAACAAGAAGAACATGCAGAATGCAAGAGTTTGTACGAAAGGGTGTGAAATATTGAATGTGATAAGGTCTATATAGTGAGTGGTGAAACATAGGGATCTCAAGGAGCTTTTGGTCAGGGCACTTAATGCGGTTATGTGATTTTTTAGTTCTGCAGTTTCTGGTCGCCTGTTCTGTTTTTTCTTTCTCTTGAAGCTGTCTTTCTCTTAGTTTTTTCTTTTGCGTGTTCTGGAAGAATGTGACTGGATGTGTCTTTGGGTGGGAGGAGTTTTCCCTTCCACTTGTGTGTTTCTCTCCTATCTTATTAATGAAACAATGCGCAGATCTCCTGCGTGTTCGAGGAAAAAAAAACATAGGGATCTAAGATCTGTGCACTTGAGCAGTTCCTATACATACATAGGTCGAATGGGCGCCATTAATGAGGTAACGTAGTACCTGGCATGGGGTAGTAGGCTATCTCCCACTAAAGAAATTAACATTATCACTCCATATTAGTTAGAAAATGACCAAAATGTGTAGTAATTACTACCTTCACATTGGAAAATGTCATCGAAGTTAATACTATACATAAAATGTGGATTCAACATAGGGCTAGAGTTCAATTGTAGGACAATAATATGTTTCCTGTATAGGAAATTATGTGTTCAGTGTTCATAATAAATTGCGGTGCCATTCTTGGTACCATGATTGTTCCATTTCTTAATCAAAGTCAAACAAGAACCTGAACTATGTATGCACAATGGAATAGAATCATAAATAGACAGGAAAGGCAAGAGTGTGGGAAAGATTTACTTGTTGGTCCACCAATGTTTACTACGACTAATGGCTTAGGCAAAGGAGCAAGTTCAGCATGCCAATCTGCAGCAGCAAAGCGTAATGCAGCAGAATCTGCTTGGTGCAGTGCACCAGCAGTGAGGACCTGACTTTGCAAGTTTCACAGTTCAGAACAAACAGCCGTTATTTGATGAAAGCATACAGGGCATTTTAATCAAAAAGAAAAGAGCAGCATACCACATTAGGACCAGGTGGTTCTTGTGGAGTAATCCATCTCCTGAAAAGGCGTGGAACTTCCTGCTGTCCCCTTGTGGTTAAAACATAGTAATCATGACGAGGAGTCACAACTAAATCAAACCTACCAAGGCGAGACCTGGGATGTTGTATCTGAATTGGAAGAAACACATATCACTTTGGTAAGCTAAGATTCGCTAAATATGTAGAAAAATTATTCAAAAATATCTAATTGAATACCATGAATTCAACGGGTATACTGATCCAGGTATCCTACCTGAATGACAAATACATTATCTGGAGCTAAACGCCTTATGGAACTTGCATATGGTATGGTATCTCGGCCACAAGCAACAACCAGCGCAGGACCTTCTCTGAAAGTGAAGCAGAACTTGATGAAGCAAGGTGCTGACATTGTAAGAGAACCTAATGATGAAAGTCTTAATTTTTAGGCTAGTCATTATTTTGCATAGCAATAGTCATCAACAAGATTCAATAACAATTATTTAGTTTCTGAAAAGTTGCCTGTTGAAATCCATGAAGTTTCATTCTTCTTTTCAACTTTTATTCCTGGAAGCATGTTACCGCAACACAACACAAGTCAGACAATGGATGTCTGATATATCATGATAATCAAATCAACGTAACACACGCTCGCAACCTCAATGGCTAACGTTTATTCGAGATGATAATACTACAGTTTCCTTGTACAGTTGTACCTGAGACGACAACAAAACCTCAGCAATATAACTGGAATGTGGTATTATACAGGAAAAGGTGTTCATGGCATAAAAACTGATCATGTGGTGAAGAAATGGAAGCATGGGGTTACTGACTCATAAATTGAAACAGGGACCGGAAGACAATTATCAGAAGTTAAGAAATAGTGCTTATATGTATAGTGCTGAAAAGCAAAGAAAAGATAAGGGATGTGGACCTTACTTCTCAAAGGTACCACGGACCATGGTTACTATCTTTTGAGTATCTGCTTCTAGTATGGAAGACAATCCAAAAGATTGACTGTTACGGGCAGAATACTGTGCCAACTTGTTTATTTGAACCACTGTTGCAAATCTTGTATCAGAAAATACCCGTCTGAGAAATTGGTCCACTAATTTGTGCAAGGAGATTGGGAGAAAATGCAGCAACTTATTGATTCCTCCTGTTGGCCTGATAGCACGCTGAGACCAGATATATTCAGGAAAAAAGGGTAATTAACAACTATTAGCATATAATGAAAGGATAATGTACACATTGTTGTGGTGGCACTGGGAAAAAACAATTTAGTTACCACGTTTCTTCTAATTTTTTGTGAGCATTAGTTACAGCATATCAGGGCACAGATATGTTCAGAACTCCAGATGCATCAAAATAAACAGCGCAAAAAAAATTCACAATCTGCACTGAGGTAGAGAAAGCACCAAGAATTTTCTGGCTGCTATCTCAACACAGGCATGTGGCAATGCATTGCCCAGTCATTATTAACTGGATTTACAATACGACATTTTGAAGAATTCAACTGATGATCCATTTTAGTTTCAACTCAAGAGTGATTACATCGGACTATTCCCTCTTTTGCAGGTATTCAGATATATAACCCCCCTCAGCTACTTACAGGTACTCCCTCCATCCTGGAAAAGAAATTAGCACATATAAAGCTAGAGTTGCATTCTTTTGGGGACAACACATGAGTCCTAAAATTGCATTCTTTCTAGAATGTAGGGAGTACATAGATAGTTCCAACCGCAGCTAACATATACTGAAGAAACAAGTATGATTTTTCCTTAAACGATGGGCCATGTCCTATGGATTTATGGATACACTCCACACACATGAGGCACCAAAATAATTCCATGATTTGTATTTTTGTTCCAAAAGAAAGGGAAGGAGTATGCATAATCCTCCTGTTCTCTAGCTACACCAATCAGTCCAAATGTTGTGTCAGAAATGCGACTGCTATTACCAATCAGGCATTAAATATACGCAAGGACGCCTGAACTTGTACAGTGTACGAGTAACTAAGCCAATCCTCCCCTGAATTTGATGAACAATCCTACCAAACCATCACCACAGGCTAGCACTGCAATAAGGGGGCTTACGTAGAGCGTGAGGCGGTCGCTGAGGCCGAGCGCGCGGAGGAGGCCGAGGCACTGGTTCTCGGCGCCGGCGCAGCCGTTGCCGATGACGACGGCGCGGCGCACCACCGTCGAGCCTCCGCCCGCGGCGAAGATCTCCGGCGTGGCCCCGCCAGGCGGCTCCGGCTCCGGCTCCGGCAGCCGTATCGGTCGCATCGGCTCGCCCCTTCGCGGCCGGCGCAGGCTCAGAAATGGGAGGCCGCCGCTTCAGTAGCCTGGGGAGTCACCGAGGCAGGAAGAGTCGAGTGAATAAGCAGTTCGAGCAGGAAGAGTCGTGGAGAGGTAGCCAGTCTTGCGGAGCAAGTTTGCTTTTGCATATTTTTTCCTTTTTTCGAGTTCCACTTTTAGCTTTGGTTGCATCTGGCTCCCGGCGGGATGGAACCGGGACTCGAGGACGAGGAGGGCGGAGGAGACAGCGAAGCGCCGCCGATGAGAACTTGCCGGGTGGGTTTTGGGTGGTACAGTACTTATTTTTGCCGACTGGGCTTGGCTAGTGGGCCAAAGCAAGTTTAACATTCCGGCCTTTTGAGAAAAGAAATATTTATGCCTTTTATTTAGGTTTTAGGGCCTGCATGGTTCACTTTCAAAATTTACCAATCCAAAGATTTAACCAAGCCATTTGTTTAAAGAGTTTCCCTAAAAAAAATAGTTTAGAGAGTGACATGGAAATCAACCATATACATTTTTCCTTGTGTTTTGGAAAAGGACTGAGCTTCTGTAAATTATAAACCCATGACGAAATTCTAGTTGCAAACCTTTATGGGTGATCAAATAAATATGCCTGTCATTCAAGAGAAAGCAATGATCTGGGAAAAAAATGCAGACATCGTGAAGAACATCTAGACTAGATCAGACGTTATACTGAAATAATATGAAGATGTTATCACAACTTATTACTTGTCATCGAGTAAAAAAACTTATTACTTGTCATTACAGTCTGCCGCATATATGCTAATAACATATGATCGTCAAAATGGCATCGTTTCTGACTTTAATATGTCAAAAAAAAAAACTCTACCATGAAAGAAGAAGAAAAATACTCTCTCCACCCACAAAAGAATACAATTCTAAGTCGAACAGTTTCAACTTTGACTAAAATTACATGAAAATGTATTAACATTCATGACACAAAATAAGTATCATCAGATTAGTTATAGAATATATTTTAATAATAAATTTATTTCGAGACATAAATGCTAATACTATTTACTATAAACTTGGTTAAAGTTGGGCTAGTTTGACTGGCACGTTTCCCATAATTGCATTCTTTTTCTAGAGAGAGGGAGTAAATATCAACTATTCATTATATGGGGCAGACTGTTTGTTAGGGTACCGTCTTCTTTGAAAATGGATTTAGCCTTCAGTATTTGACTTGTTTATACACATGAAAAGTTAATGATTAACTAAAAATTAGTTATCAAATGCACGGCTAGGACTAGAGTGGAAGCTTCTGCTTTTTTCAAGGGGTTAGTCAGGAAACTCTTTAGACTCAAGAAATATCTAAATAAATTGTGGGATTTTGTGGGGACATGAATATGAAAACTTGGCAACAGCCATGGTTGGCTCTTCTAGGCTTGCCTGACGCGACTTGACTTGACCAAAGGAAGGGCTCAAGGCCATGGACAGTGATGCATGCAAAATGTATGTTTGGTAGAGCTCCGGATCACCTTATTCTCTACAATGCACACCTCCTCGGCCTCACCTCCTCCTCCAACACTGCTTCCGCCTCACCTCCCAATGCCTGCGCTCAAGCCTGCTTCCGCGTCAAGGAACATCGCGAGCTTGAGCCTACCTGCGCTTTGATGTCGACATCACTCGGGGCCATCTTCTCCACCAATGTACTTTGCCCCGACAACACTCGAGCCCACCTCTACGTCAAGAGATGGTGCTGCTCCACTCCAATAGCCCTAGAGTCCACCTTTGCATCGAGGGGCGGCGTTGGCTCGTGTCCTAGCACTCCTTTCGCCCATGGTGAGGACATTTTCACCCTGGGCCCACGGATCTGAGGATGGAGAGGAAGCTGCATTTTTCAACTCCATATCTCACCAGTGTCTTCTCTTAGTGTGATTCGTGGTGCTTCACATACAGAGCTGGAGGCTCCTGATGCGTTTGGTTGGCAGAGTGATAAAGATGTTCATGGAGGTATTGTTGGAACTACTAAACACACCCAAAACAGGACTCGCGACAGCAAAAGGTGTCGGCCAAGCCACACGATGAGCAACAATAGCAACAATCAAGTGCCATCATGCCACACCCTTGGGTTGCTAGTCCATGACCACATGGGACCAGAGAGAGACCAAGAGTTGTGAGATGGATTAGCTAGTTTGGGCATGAAGAAGGAGCTAGGATATTAAGAGCATCTCTAAAAATAGAATTATAGCTAGTGACGAGAACCCTAAGCTGCTCCTCTCCCAACCGTCGATGTCCTCTCCTAGCACACCGGCTCGCTCCCCCTCCTCTCATTGGTGGACAGAGGAGCGATAACCCAATCTCTTTTCCCTTCATAGTTTTAGATTAGGTTTGTGGATCCTTGTTGATCTAGGTTTTGATTTTTGATTCTGGTGTCATCGATGAAGTGGTGGCGACGATGGTACTTTGGAATAAGGTCTCTCTGGTCTCTCCCTACCTCAATGACATTCGATCTGGTGTCGACAAAGGGCTAGTGAGAGTTTGGTCTGTCTTCATATCTTGGTTTTGGTGTGTTTATTAGAGGAAGCAGTTGGTTGGCTTTTGATGCGGCGATCTCGACCTCTTCTTTTAGTTTGTTCTACAACAAGGTCCAGAATCTTCAACACTTTGTTTTGATGATGAAGGATTGTAAGCCTATGTTCCTTGGATGATTCCTCCAGCCGATGTTCTTTCAGTGAATACTAGTTCTCATTGTTCAAGGCGAGTGGTTTTTGCGGTCTTTAAAGCCATGTCCGGCGAGGGTGTTTATAGGTGTCCCTTTTCTTCGCTGTCAATGCAGTGCGATCTTCAAGCTCCTGCAGGCAGTGGACGTTCGAAGGAAGAAAACGACTGATCTGGTCTTTAATGTACTCTTATTTTTAAAGGCCGTTTTGTGTCTTTTTGTCCATCGTTTGTACTAGCGTTTATTCTCCTTGAGATATGTCAAATGTGAAGCACTCTTTTGAGTGTCTTTTATAAAAAAAGAAGCATCTCTAGCAACATTACACAAATGGCCCCCTATCGCCAATTTAGGTAGTGAAGGTCAAAACTCAACTCCAATAGACCCCCTTCTAGGCCTCCCAAATTTGTTGGTCTCCTATTTCCCCCTCCCACCACACATTCCTGCTGGCCTCCTACTTGGCTATGTAAAAGTTTTCCTTCATGTACCTCCACGCATGAGATCATGACGCCTTCCCTCGCACCGCCGGTGTACCTACCCAACGTGCCCTGCCTAGCGCGGCTGCATGCCAGCCTCTCCTCCTCAACGCAGGAGGGGCCACGACTTTCCCCGGTGCGGGCACGACACCCTGCTTGGTGGGGCTCCCCGCGCAGCGGCGGCCCCTCCCCATCGCGTGCAGCGCCTTCCCGATGTGGCTTCCTGGCCAACCCTTCATTGACTCCCCTTCCCGTAGGATACTCTACTAATGAGGAAAGGAGTGGCACGACCCATGATTGTCCTCCTCTGGTGACTACCCACCACCAGAGGCTCTCCTCCTCATGGCATGACCCCAGCCACCGATGACATCCCTCCCCATGGCATGCCCCCTCCTCCGGTGGGGGATCACTTCCAATGACCGAGTTTGTCAATGGCGACGAGAAAAGGAGGATGACCTATGGTTCCCACATGTCATTGACTACTGGAATAAATTTGAGGGCCATGGTTTAGGTAGTACTGTTGGAGTTGAAAGCCAAAAATGGGTAGTATTAAAATGGGTGGCAACACAAAGAGGCAAGTACAAGCCTATTTTGGGTAGTGTTGTTGGAGATGCTCTAAGGCCCTCCTTGGCAACGGCTACCACAACTTTGGCTTTGGCTTCTCCAGTGCAACATATATTTGGCAACTGTTTAGGAAGCACTAGTAATAATCTGAAGCCATTAGTTTTGCTAGGCCCAACAACTACTTGTTGGTCTTTATGGTTAAGCAGAAATGATATTATTTTTAGAAGAAGAATTCTATTTCTCTTGTGAAGGTTATATACTCAATTATCCATTGGCTCCATACTTGGTCCATTCTCAATTATGGATAACCCAGCTACACCATTTGTTAAGACCCATAGTAGTAGTGCATGTAAAGTCTTTAATATTCTTTAATTTGGTCGATCAACTTCATTCCCATGAATTCAATATGTAGCTGGGTCTTGACAAATTTTGGTTCCGCCGATGTAGCCAAACTATAATGTTGTAATGCCACTCTCTCAATCTCCTTTTGCAGCTTCAAGCATATTCATGCTTTGTCAACTTCTTGCAATGGGAACAGAGGGTCATGCTTACCTGTATTGTCTCAGGACAATATAACACCATGCAACACAAATAACATCAATGGGTTATGTTGTTGCAAAAGGGTAAATAGATATGAACAACAAGATATAGGTAGCAACGTTGTTGCTGCTAAAAACCTAAATCATTGTAACACCCCAGTGTTAAGCTTTGCATTTGGCACTTGCATTTCATGAGCACAAGCATCATTCAAGCATTCATGAACATGAGCATATGAAATTTCATCTCATTCTTATACATTGTCACATGAAATGTTGATTTTATATATATGTCTATGCTTGCAATCATGTATGACCAATGTATGAGATGGTTTTGAGGTCATGAAAACACCTTAGACACATCTAGAATGATAATTGGAACAATGTTTATATCCATGACAGACCAAATTTGCTTCTAAGTGGTGGTTTCATTTGAAGTGCCATTTTCAAGGTACTAATTTGACTAAAGTTGAACAATAGCTTAGAGTATTTGCATGGCTATGTGACCTAAATAAAAGTTGTAGTTCTTGTCATGAGTAACAAGGTCATGAGCTAATTCAGTGTCTAACATGGTCAAATAGAGCTCACAAGTATCAACAAAATGTTGTTTTTAAAACTTGAAATTTCGCTGTCTTTAACTGAGTTTCAGTTTCAATGTAGTCTACTTTGGAACATTGTAGTTTGAAAACCATTGAAAATTAGACAAAACTCCTTTAAGCAATCTTGTAGTAC